GACTTACACTAACAAATTCAAGAGAATATTTATATGGTACGCTTCATGGATAGTTTTTCTTTTTTTCTCTAACTTAGGATTCATGAACCATTTGGTTTCTCATAATATGAATGCGTTACCAATTAGCAAAATTAAACAAATTTAGGTAAGATTAAACTGGAATCCAATTCAAAATTTCTCGGCAGCATCCAGAATTAGGATTATTATGAATTTTTTTATTTTTTTTTTTTCCATGGACTCTAAATGATTGCTGCTTGCACTTCCCGTACGTGTTTATATCAGCAAGTCTAATATAATTTATCTGCCTCACGGGAGCCTGCGACAGTATGATATAACCGGAGCAATGCGGTTCTGCCAGCCTCTCCCTTAGTACAAGTCACCAGAAATTCCCATCCACCAGATTCATAAATTCTTTGCGTTAAATTCTCGTTTAAAACAACTTTTAACTTTTACTGATTTATGATGGGCTATTAGCCATTCTCATTGGAAAATTTTACTTGGGGGAAAATTTTACTACTGGTCAGAACTTCTCTCCACGATGTCTGGTTAGCAAAAGAGGCCATTTATTTCCGGAAGTCAAGCACGTCCCCCATTTTTTCCAGTTCTTCTTTCCTCGCGAGTTGTCAAAGTCACAAGCCTCTCAGCGCCTTTTAGGACATTCCCTATAAACCCCGTTTGCAATAACGACAACTAGATGGCGATGTAACGACAGACATAAGCTCGGATCGAATACTTAAAACCTAAACGGGTACTCATTTCGGTTTGTATGTACGACGGTACAGCATGCAGTGCATCTCCACGAGAAGGTGGAGATATATCACGCGCTCGAAGAAGAGGTTGATTTTCTTGACCGCTTTTCTTCTTTCACTCCACGTGACTGCGTACATGTTCCGCTTCGTGAGCAATGCCCGCAACAAATGAAAGAGGTTAGCAATAATCATTTATTCACATCTTACACATGACGAACTCCAATATGCAAAAAGGCGTCTTATCAATGCAGCACAACCACGCCATTTTCCGTGGGGAAAAATAGTTTTGCAAGATAAAAAGCCCATTAACAAAAAAAGTACTCTTCCCATTAACAAAAAAGGATCTTCCTTGGACAAAGACGGTCTTCTACGGGTTAATGGCCGTTTCCACCTTGGAGGTTCTGCCAGCTGTATTTGAAGTTTTTACACTCACTGGTTCTTCACGTAGAAATCCGATTAATGATCCAAATGGTAAGGCAAGAGTACTACGTTTCAAAGCTAAAACCTCTAATTAAAAAATGCAGTTTCTATGCAAAGTGTGCACGTTTTACAAGCAACAAACACGCACCCAAATAATGGCCGCTGTACCCACTGAACGCTGCAGTTTCTCACTCCCCTTTTCTACAACTGAAGTAGATTTTGCAGCAATTGCCCGCTTCGTTGGCAGACGAGGATTCCCCTGAAAATTGATGAGCGACAATGCAAAAACGTTCATTGGCGCCCAGCGCGCAACAGAACGCGACTTCGTTAAATTCCTTAACGAATGTTCTGCGGACATTATCAAAAAATATGCCCCTGAAGGCATCAATTGGCAATATGGGCGGTTTGTTGGAATCTGCAGTGAAAAGCTTCAAAATCCATCTTAAGAAAACCGCTGCAACCCACAAGTTTACTTTCGAAGAATTTACAAGACGCTTTTGGTACGAACTGAAGCAGTCCTCAACTCGAGGCATCCATCCGCACTTTCCCAAGACCCAGCTGATATGACAGCACTTACTCCGGGTCACTTAATTCGAGGTGCACCGCTATTGGCCATTCCCGAACCTAATGCGGAAGGCCTCCCCCTTCTAAACCGGTGGGAGAAGGCCAAAGCACTTCACCACCAATTTAGTCGTCGCTGGAAAGAAGACTACCTGAAGGATCTTCAAAAGAGGTACAAGTGGAAAACCCTATAACGCGATCCTCAGCGAGGCGACCTCGTCGTGATCAAAGAAGATTCGTACATTTAAAACTGAAGCTAAGTCTTTGCTGTGAGCGGGAACCAAGTGCGTGAAGAGGTGAGTGCGAAAGGCGACCACTGGAAGTATTCACCAACTGATAAAAGAACCAACCTAAGAAAGAAGCCCAAAAATACTGTGGTCAGCGTAGCCGGAGTTGGACTGATGAGGGTTATTTTTTCTAAACGGATGACTTTTCTTAAATTTTGGACTGTGCTCTTTCTAACGGGTGGAGTTTTATTTTAGGTCCCAACCCAACCTCCCTCTCCTCTCCAACACACAAAATCATTGTACAAGTATCTAAACAGTTCCAGTGAATTTTATGAATAGTTTAAGAAAATTCCTAAACTACCAATTTTACACGTTTGTGAAAAACTATCGTTTGCCGAAAGCTGCACGAAAGTTTGCTCCACTGCTATAGCTTCCCATCTACGTTTTGCTCGACTCCTTCCACAAACCCCTTTCCCCAAATCCTGATGCTCCTGCATCAGCTGGACCAACCGCCCAAGTTGCTGTTTATAACTTACAAATGGGAGGCCAAAGCCGAATGTAATTTAAAAAAGTGATAACAAAAAGGAAAATAAAGTAAGTTGTTTTCATAGAAAGTGCTAAAGATTTGTATACACACCTCGTGTGCTTAAATTACCGGTTACTTTTAAATGAACGCGTCTGTTATGCGTTGAACTTTATCAACTAAAGGTAGAAGGAATTGTCGTTAATGATCATAGGGCGATTTACAGATGCATTCGGTTACAAGTAGCCGGTCATTTAAGCATAAGAGGTACACAGTGACGTATGCCATTTTCAAAATAAACGCTGCTCTCCACAATATTTGTGTTCATTATGGCATTGACATGGAAACCGACTACGAGGACATTATACAGCAAGAGCGGGTACAAAATGCTCATGAGGAGTTAGCAGATGAAGATTCAGTTGAAGTTACTCAAATTCGAAATTCAATAAAAAACGCTTTAATTTGATGTTTTTGTGGCTATATATGTGTAAAATGGTTTCATTTAATTAAAAAAATATACTTCAGTGCGTAACTTACTAGCTACTTTTAAATTTAATTATCTAATTGATTTTGCAGTATTTCTATTTTTTTTTTTTTTGTATATCTATCTTGAAAGTCTCCTCTTCTCGTTCTTTTAACAGCTTCCGTTGTTCCTCCGCCAGGCGGTATTGTCTACGCTGGTACCGAGCACTTTTTTCCGGAATTTTTTTAATTTGTTTCAGTGCTGTTGTTTGTACATCCACTAGTTTCATTTTATCCTCTTTGGGGTTCGCTTTCCTACGAGGTGGCTGTGCGGCGTTTGTAATACGCGAAGGTCCGGCAATCGCCTCATCATCATTTGTAGCGGCTGCTGCTAAGTTGGTTGCACGTGAATATGCGAGAATGGGCTCATCGCAATCTGTGGCGGTAGTAGCCGCAGAGCGGGGACTTGTTGGTTCGTTCGCAACACCATACACGTAACCAGCTGGATTTAGCAATTCTTCAAATCCCATTAAATTTGCCACGGTTTCTTCAAGTGGAGCCAATGCCATTTGATTAAAAATTCCTCCGCCGGTTGATCTTGCCTCTTTTTTGTTATGGATCATTTTCTTTTTAACTTTTAATTTCAGATCTTTCCATACCTATAAATAATAAAAAGTTATAGGCTATAATATTCAATTTAAAACAATAGAAGATTAAAATTTTTTAAATATTTTGAATTTACCTTGTACCAGCCATTGCCATCTCGCACTGGTGGTCCAACTGCATTAATTTTCGTTGCGAGCTCCCAATCTTCTTTGGATGTGTTGTGAATAACCCCTTTTTGCTAAATATGGTTTTGTTCTAATTCTGCAACCGGAATTTCAAACTGCACACTAGTTGCTAAAAGCTTAGTTCTTTGCATCGTCTTTACCTGAGTATATCCAGTAAAAAAAACTGTGGTGAAGTCCTTTATGGGAATACAGTTTCCAGAGGTGAAATTTTTTGTAGCACAAAATTTCTTACACGCACGGTTGCTTTTCATCACTAATGACATAAACTTTAGAATTTATTAAAATAAAGTTTCGTTTAGTGCATCAATTTTACGGATAAACACAAATATACGGATTTACTTTAATATATAAATATGAAAGAAATTGTAAAGCCCCCGTTTTATGATAAATTTGTTACAAAATAACATTGCTTATTGGAACACTCTAAGCGCTGCCGCTCAAAAGTTGGTTTTCGTACGAAAACAGCCCTGGCCCTTGTTGTTGCTGTATAGCATCGTAACAAGCAAAGGAAAAATAATTTATTTCCCAAATTTATAATTTGTTTGATGTAAATATATTTATTTTAGGTACATAGCAAGGTGAAAGTTTCATGAAAATTTGAGCACTCGACATTAGGGATTCATTTATGGAATTCAAGAGCTTCATATTTGTACTGCGTCCTTGATTAGCATTTTGCTTGCATTACAAAATATATCACATATATCACTGCATAAATGTGTATATCACGCCGAATGAGGGAAAAAGTATACTTAAATTATAAAATAATTCAATTCTATTCAAAACGTATACAAATTCACGCTTTTGTTTTGGGTTTCTAGCTCAATAATAATGCCCTCAGTGATGCATTTTCTATTTACGATAATCTTGGATGATGTTCTCCAAAATCAGCTCCGAGCAACTTAAAGTGAAATACCTGCTTACTGCTCTTGTTAAATTAAAAAAAAAAAATTGTTCAATTCCAGAATAACAAAATAGAATCATGTATGAAATGAAGAAAATAAATATTTATTTATTCCTATCACGAATATTCTGTCGTAATCAAATGATGAGTACTCGACTGCCTACAACTTGTACTTTTAGCTAAGTGTTTGGCCAATCTTCTCCAATTATAGGTCGTGTCTTGATTTAGGTAACTCATTACAAAATTGTATGGGAATATGTATACATCATATATGTACATATATTATTGTATATTGGCCTTATTCATAAAAAATAAAGTAGGTTTAAAGAGCTTTATAAATTGACGTTTTCATAGAGTTTTCAATTTATAAACCTTTTATAAGGCTACTTTATTTTTCACATTTTTAAAACATGTTTCACCATTTAAATTAATAAATCTAAATATGTGTTTTTACGTTTAATGTGTTTTACATTTAACTAATTTATTTCATTACACATATTCTTTAGATCACTTCGACTTGTAGACAATCACCCCTATTGCGAATGTCGACTGGCAGTAGATAAACGACTATTAAGCGATTATCTATTATCGATGCTATTGCGAGTGTCGCTTAGTCGCTCAATTAGCGACTGTGAATACTTTTTAATCGCTCATCCTTCTATTGCTGTTTTTTAGTCGTTGGAGTTTGCGTTTATAAAATTTACATAAGAAAGTGGTACTATAATGGATAAAAAGTAAGTCAATTGAACTGGAAGTTGTAAAAAATTGTGAAATATACATATGCATGTATGTGTCTGAATTACAGATCAAAAATTATAAGCAACAAAAGGCAACTTGCGCGGTTGGTCGTACTGATGCAGGAGAGTGAAGACATAGGCAAAGGAATTTCCGGAAAGAGTAGGGTAGGAAGCTCCGCTTCTATTGGAAAAGATACATATACAATATTTCTTGTGCATATAACTCCGGCTACGCCATCCACAGTGTTTTTGCGCAGAACCAACATCAAAAGTTTATACAAAAAAACTGCATAATTTATTAATTGACTAGTGCTCGGAAATTTGAAATCTTTATTTTAAATTAAAGTTGAATTCTTTCAATACACTTGTTATGTTGTTATGTTAAAGTTTTTAAACTCGGGTCACGCGTTTGGACACAAAAACCCAACATCATTGTACAAAAAACTTAACCGTACCGTATTTCTTAAACTTCCATAAAGTTTATTAATGAGGAAAACAGCTTTTCCTGCAAATCATGTAAAGCCTAAAAACTGTGAAGCATCGGGAACGCAACTTCTATTCATAAAACTCACACATGTACATACACCTTCCAAGTCCAAGGGATCCGACGAATCTCGCAATTCCCTCCTTGCTTTAGCTAACTCTACTAATCTATTAGCTTCCGCATCATCTTCCTCATCACTAAACCATATTTCAACTGTGTCCATTTTTTTAATTTTATAATAAAAGCAATTATTTTAAAAATGATGTAAATAAAACACTCAAGAAACAAATGTAAACAAACAAACAGCTGTTTACAATTCTGTCAACCATTCACAATAGTACAAATTTTTATCGATCAAGTTACACAATAGCAAAATTAAAGATGATCGACTCGATCGACAAATTTCTATTCTACTGCCAGTCGACACTCGCAATAGGGGCCAATAACACGTTAATGGGTAGATTATCGATGGCAATCGAACTTCAGTTGCGTTGCTAGTTGCCAAAACGATATTACAGATGGCAACTGGCAACTTTCAACTGACAACTGCTGTTGCTACATAATGTGTATACAGGCGACTACATTTTAGTGGCTGGGAATGTTTTTGGAGCGTATTTAGGAGCGAAAATTGAAAAGTGTGTCATATATATAATAATTTGAACGATATTAACATTTTGCAATGCAGTTTGCTTTTACAGAATATGGTGAAAATAACAAACCAATATCTTGCAATTTTAGTTCCCGTGGACAACACCCTTTTGGCGAAACAAAAGCGAACACTGATTGCAATTTTTTCCTTTATCAATTGAAGCACCTCTTTTAAAACTACCGACACACCCAGTTTTCCAAATTAAAGTCATTGCTGTGGCACTTCTTTCTGCGAAAAATCGAAGATGTGCGCAAGCTTTTATGAGCGGAGGTATTGAAGTTGAACGAAGTGGTTCATCTGTTTATTAACCAATTATACTACAGCTTCTTTTGGAAGTCCTCAATATGCTTTGAAAATGAACACAAAACGATAACAAAAGAAACCATTAACTTTTGCTTACAGTACACGCGGTAGCTCTAGAGGATTGGAATTATCCTTTAAGTGTCGCCTGATTGAGGACGCGTTCATGCATTTCTCTTCCTCCTAAACAAATAATTGTGATAAATTTAGCTTTATTTCTCTTTTATTTAAAACTCTTTATTTTAATAATTTAATTTTACTCGCACAGCTTGTTTGCAGCTGCTTGCTGGTTGTTGGAACTGTCAAATTTTGATTATCGATAACTCTACAGCAACTGACGATAGTTGCCATTCGTAATACAAATTTTCTTTCCAGTTGCATTGCCAGCTGACAACCGAAGCGTGGTTGTGTTGCCATCCGTAATCGACCCATAAGTTTTATTAATATAGTGAAGCGAATCTTAAATATATCATACATGCGGTGCTAAAATTTTTCACTACATTGAATTTCTGTACAACACCCTAATTGCCGAAAAAGCTTTGTCTGCAACCCTAAGTCCTTTATGGGGGCCAAATTTGGCGAAAAAACAGCTGTTTGTTTACTGGATATACTGAGGTCTTTACTTTTGAAGCATCGTCAGTAAAATGGTTGACGATGCAAATCGAACGAAAGCGACACAAAACGATGGCAATAACGGTGACGAGCATACCACAGTAACGCCATTTGACGACAGTGCTGCCAAAGAAGATGAACGGAATACCAAGGTTACCGTATCGTTGGTTTTACTGACGATGACGATATCTAGCATAAGGCCGAATATAAAAATGTTTAGCACTTTCAATGTAATTTCCATTTTGTTATCACTTTCTTAAATTAAATTCGGCTTTGGTACTCCCAACGATTAAAAAATAGCAGTAGGATTAGCAATCAAAAACTGTTGTTGTTGTTGTAACAGCATACAAATTCCCCAAAGAGTTTTCGGGGAGTGTAGCTGGAGTGACAGTCCTTGGCCAGATATAAATCTGGGTCGTTTCGGTTACGTATACCCGCCTGTCGTGGGAACGCAATCAAAAACTATTGACAGTCGCTAGCTGAGCGAGTAATAGACACTCGCAATATCACCGGTAATCGATGATCGAATAATATAGACACTTCTGAGTACAAAACCTGAATTAAACACATTGACAAAGCGCATATGTATTGGTATACCATCCACAATATACTTATTTAAACTTTTAAAGCATTATGTAGTGAACAATAGAGAATGTTAATTACAGTTCTTTACTTACTTAACAAATCGTTTAACCAAAAAAGCGAAAATTTGGTTGAATGAAAAGATAAGTTTGTTTAGGGACAAATTTTATTTAGCACGAATTAATGTGGAATTAATTTGTAGGACGAGTTAACATGGTATAAATTTATCGATACCCTTATATCCAAGTAAGAGAATCGCAAAAATATTTTATATGGAAAACATTTATTCTACTGAATATACCTCCGGTTAAAAACATATAGTAACTTAGCAATCGGCATAAGGCAACCCTGCATTATCATTTGTGTGTTTCACCTGACATTCTACTGTTGCTGGTTGGTTGTGCTCTATCTTCCTTCTTCGTTCGCAATCTTTCGTCGTCAATCTCGTTGTATACATTGGTAACCGAGCTCCACGCGTTTTTTGATGTAACCTATATCGTATTTACTTTGATTAATAAATAGTTAGTTTAAATCTACAAACTCTGTTTTAATCCGAACATCAGCCGCTATAACATAAGTATATAGTCGATTCCCGCTTTGCAGTAAAAATACCTCAACATGTTTTATAGTTTGTGTTCAACCAACCCATTTTTATTAAATACGAATTGCCACATGTATGATGTAACACATTTAAAATAGCACAGCTATTAACTAATTTACAAACAGGAAAAAGTGTAAACAAAAAATAAAATAAATATCTTATAGTACGTAAGCAATTATACTTATCAACAATAAGTAAATTAAAAGTAAACGACGTTGCCAGTTGTAATTCTCATGACTTAACACCTGCATTCAATACAGAACTGTCCATTTGCGGTGGCTTTGACGACGATGACAAGGCTGCTAATTCCGACTCGCTGACGACACTGTGCTCAGCTACAGTCGGCAAGGTTTGGATTACTGATGACTCCACACCAAAAAAACTATTGAGTGCATTATTTTGAGATACTGGCATATCGAAATTTTGCTCTGCACTAATCTCAACATACGTTGATTTAACTTCTTCTTGAGGTATTGAAGAATCAAATGCCTCACATGTTTGCGTTATTTGTGGCCAATTTTTTAAATATTGCAAATCATATTCTACATGCATGTATTTTCGATTTGACTTTTTCATATTCGCTTCACGACGCACTTGAACCTTTCTAAACAGTAAATATTCGATGACGAAACTCTCCACAAAAGCATGTAAAGTAAAATTCGCAACTCCATATAGCAGCATCCAGTAGCGAAAGTCCATATTTTCAGGTACGATTAATTGGAAGAAATCGGCAATCCATTTTGTAGGGAATAATACTAGATAGCCGACGATGAAAAGGTTAACAATCAACGAAAGGCAAAACGGTATATTAGACCAGATCGGCTTGCGATAGGGAGCTCCCTTCGAAAATATAAATGCAAGTGTAATATACTGGAAGCTCGATATCGCAAACATAGTGTAGTTTTCATAGCACCCTAAGTGATCTTCGTCACTGTGTTGAAAAGAAACAAACCACTCTTGTTGGTGCAATTGGAACCATCCTGTAAAATAAGAAAATATATGACTAATCTTATATATTACAGATATGTATTTAAGCAATAGAAGTACTCGTATTTAAACAGTTGTGAGGAAAACCTAGTAGACAAAACAAGACTTGTCTTAAACTTGCATATATTCCCAATGTGCGGACCAAGACGAAAGTGAAACCCAGCGACTTCCGTAACAAACTATTGGACCCGTACATCAGTCAAAAGCTACATCAAATTGTGACTAGCGTTGAAAACGCTTTCACCTACAAGGCACTTGCTAAGAGTTTTGTCGATACTCAACAACGGTGTCCTACAAGTAAGAATTCCAAACCTTTTCAGGTAAGAAAGCTATATATATGTGCAGTTTATGGTAATCAATAGTTTGCTGATGTGCTTAGTCTGAAAAAGATTTCACCCCAAGAATTCCATCGAGGAACTAATGCATACTCGCACTCTGCTATAACATGTACCAACAGGCCAAACCAAGGAGTGGGATTGCAGACGATAGTGGCGTATTTCAAGCTGAAATACGAACTATGAAGGAGACCCGAGGTGGCTGATTAGCGTAACAGTCGTGAACGAGCAACTCGTCACGTAAAAATGCAAATTTCGAATTATAGCAGTCGCGAACGTACATATCGTTGGTGTTGTTGATGTTGTAGCGGCGTACTGCTCGTTTCGTAATTCGGTTTACGAGAAGCGCAGTACGCCCCGTGGTTCGGATAGTAGATCTAGCTGGACGAAAGTCAACATTTTATTTGTTTTTAAACTACTTAATGGTACTTGGAATACATTCCCGACAATACATTCAAATAGAAATTGCATTTATAAAAGCAATAAGCATATGGAAACAAAAAAATAAAGGGTAAGTCAACACCGCCTATTTGAGAACTCTATTTTAAAAACTGAAATTTAACTTAAAATATTGCTAATCGCACTCACAAATAGTTGCATAATTGCAAATTGACTTTATAAACCAAAAATTACACTTATTTCGCTATAGATTCAGAGGTCATAACGCAATTTATGTCCGCATTGGTATAAGTAAATTTATACTGAAAATTCTTCGTTTTGATTATTCAAAAAAATAAATTCAAGAGTAGAAAAAGTAAAGGCCGCCGAAGGACGTTATAAAACCACTTGCATATTATTCTTTACACCTTCGGAAATGCAGAGGTTAACCAATTGGCTTAGATATTTACATTTTGGTGACGTTATGTCAAATCTCAAGAAGTAATCTTCAAAAGTAATTATTAACAGGAATTTACACTATTATAAACTTTATATGACAACTATATAAGAGTTTTTAGGGTCGGTAAATATAAACATAAGATCAGTGGCGGATCCACGGGGGAGGAGGACGGGGTGTTTAGGTGCTAAAACCCTCCCTTAAATCGAAGAATAATAGTTCAGTGGGTTTAAAAAAGGATTCTTGGGAAAAAGGATGCGAAATTTTCAAATAACTACATCAAAGTTGGTTTTATAAAACATGTCGATAATTTTAAACACATTCAATTTTTCTGTTTTTACTTATAACTCAATAAAACGAAGATTTTTAAAATTTGTCTTAGTTTTTCGAAAAATTCTTCTAGAACTTCGTCAACGACAAAATTTATTAATATTTATTTTTTATTTATCTGTATATGTATATTAACTTACTTCGGCCTCTGTTTCAATATTCTTCCACTTTTTAAAATCAAGCTCAAGGCCAAGGATTTTCCAGTTTTTAAGTTATTTTATTAAATTATTTTATTCGATATTTCGCCTTTCATCGAAAAGCATCCTCAGGAATACGTATCTACAAAACCAAAAACTACATGTATACATTCATACATACAAAACATAAACAAACGACTTACAATTTGTCAAATAACAAAAAACATGTAATCTTATTACTAAATACTGCCGCGACCGTCTTCTTCGTCTTCACAAGCTGCACTGATTTCTGCATTACTTCTTCATACGTTTTTTTCCCATTAGAAGTCGATAGCTTTGAGCGAGTCCATCGGTGTCTGTTTTGTGGTTTATTCTTTTTTCTGATGTTGTTTTCATAATATGGAGCATCTCGAGAGTCATTCGCTTGTGATAATTGTCCTCTCTCTGTAACACACGCACATTATCAAGATCAGCTTGGTGTTGTTCTCTCGCACAGTGGGAGGTTAGTGCAGTTTTTTGCGAATTGTTGCATCTGTTTTTTTAAATCTGATTTATGGCCGGCGATTCTAGTTTTTAATTTTCTTTTTGTGGTCCCAATATAATACATTCCACAGGGGTTGGTCTGATTTCCTTTACATTCTATTTGATAAATTAGATTTGATTTCTCCATTTTGTCTGTTTTAGACTTTAGTTTGGTAAATAGTGATTGTAATGCGTTATTTGGTTTGTGAGCTATTTTGTGGTTAATGTTATCAATACAATTTGCTTTTTCTAATCTTTCAGACAGACCTGGAACGTATATCAAGGACTTAAATATTGCAGATTGAGTTTTCTCAAATTGCGGATTTTGTTTGTTTTTATCCATTAATTTTTTTATAGTCTTTCTTGGGAAGCTATTTTGATATAAAATGTGTCTAATTTTGTTGTAGTTTTTTTCGTGGAAGCTGTGGTGGCTGATGTTTATAACTCTATCGATGAAATTTTGTGCTGTATTTATTTTGACTCTTTTGGGATGTTGTGAGTAGAAATTTACTAGCCGTCCTGACGATGTCGGTTTTTGATACCAATCCAGAATTATTTTATTAGCCTTCCTAATAATAAGGGTGTCAAGGTATGGGAGTCTGCCATTGTTCTCTTTTTCCATCGTAAATTTAATGCTAGGATGGAAGCTGTTCAGCGCTGTCAATATATTTTCCACATGACTTATCTTACAAATCCCAAAGAGGTCGTCCACATACTTTGTCAATATCTTGATCCTAATATCACTGTTTTGTACACATTTTTTTAACAATTCTTCCATTACAATATCTGCCACAATCGGTGATGCCGGAGAACCCATAGGCAAACCCTTTTTCTGTTGATAGGTTTTGTCCTTGTATTGAAAATATCTACTATCTTGTATACAAAAACGTAAGATTTTAATAAATAACTCCTTTTTGATTTTGGTGAACTCTTGTATCTCGTCCCATTTTTCCTGAATTATGTTCACAGCGAGGTCCACTGGTACACTTGGAAATAGTGATACCACATCAAAAGAAACCATTATCTCATCCGATTCTATTGTAGTATTAGTAATTCTATCCTTAAATTCCCTGGCATTTTTCACGTTATATATCGAATTTTCGGTCAGTCTCGTTAAGATATTGGAGATATATTTGCAAAGTTTCGAAGATGGAGCATTAACTGAGGAACAAATTGGTCTAAGGGGGTAATTTTCTTTATGTATTTTTGGCAGCCCGTAAATTCTAGGCGCCGTTGATACTTCCGTTTTCATTCTTTACTTCTCAAAATCATTGATAATATTTTCGGCGTATAATTTTTCAACTAATTCATTATTAATCCTTTGTAATCTAGATGTGGGATCCTTGCTTATCCTTTGATACACATAATGTCGTTGATTGTCGTACTCATCTTTTTCTCGTAATCTGACCTTTCCATAGCCACTGTCACGTTGCCCTTGTCTGCTTCTAAGATTATGATGTTCTCATTCTCACTCAGAAATTTTCTAGTTCTTTCCATTATCTGGAGCGTGTATTTTTCCCTGTGTGTCAAGCGATGTTTATTCATATGGTTTTCTAATATGAAAGTAAATTTGTTCCTGGCTATCTCTTGTTCTTCTCTTCCCGGTATGGTTTTAATGCATTCCTCTCCGTCGGTGATATATTTTAGTAGCGGTAGGTCTCCTTTTTCATGTGGTAATCCAAATTTCTTGCCATGCGATAGTAGCCATTGTATTTCGTCTGGTATTGGTATATTTGTCTTGTTGCAAAACCAATCCGGGTTGTTCCTTATATCCAGCTTCCTCAGTTGTTCATCTTTCAGAGTGTTGAATTTCCTTATATGTTTTTCTTTTACCTCCGCTTGAACTTTCTTGTATATAATATTCTCACTGTTCAGCCACTGTGTTTCCTCCTTTAATAAAATAACTTAAAAACTGGAAAATCCTTGGCCTTGAGCTTGAAAAGTGGAAGAATTTTTTATTTATCTTTGTGAATATTCATAGAGCCTAGACGCCGTTAAGCCTTTCTTGACCTGGGGTATTTCTCAAGTAGGTCTTAATCCTTTTCAGGGAAAAACTTACTTCAGGTGAAGCTATTGAAACGGGCAAAAGTGCAAATATCCGTAAGATCTTAAAAACATTCCCAAAAGACGTTGTATTCACTATTTGTTTCCACATTTTTACCTCCACAAGAAAGTTTTGTTTCGAACAGTCGATTAAAAGTTACAAAGAAACTGGACTATTAAAAATATAGTACCACGTTGACTGAGCTTTACTCGGAGCGCAAATATATGTACTAAAGTCCAGCGCAAGTGTATTTGCCGCATTTCGTTCAAAAGTACTACTTGCATTGTACTCTACTCCCAACACATTCAGCCCTATTCTGCATTTCGACTCGGATCGAAATTTTCTCCGTTTGGCAATTTTGGTATTCTGCGTTCCGTTTCCTTTCGATCAATCTTCGAAATTTACGATTATACCTATTCTACATTTCGATCGTAGTTCCGTTTTTCNTAAAAAAATTAAGTAAAATATACTGTGCATGATTGTAAAAGCCATCATAAATGAATTTTCTCGATTTCTGTGTTTTTGCGAGCGGTAATACGGGCAATACGAAAAATTGGCTCAAATAATGGCAACCAAAAGGGATATTGCGCGACGTCTTCAAAGTGGAAGTCCAGGCGTTTTTGTTTACATTATCTATAAATAATACTGTGAAATGCACTGAATACAATTTATTCTTTTTATATAAAATTAATAGATGTATGCACATAGATACATACATACATAAAATGTGAAGTTACATAAAAAAGATGCTTTTATTATTGCACACGCTTTTACTAACTTTTTAAAAAGAGGTGCGTATGTTGTCTCGAATTCGATTTGCTATGGAAAGATAAGCTTTGTTCTTCCCCTCCNAGGTACTCTACTTTCTCTCATCGCGTACGAGATATTTGCTGCTGCCAAAAGGGAGTAGCAAATCTACTCTCTGTATACTTGTAGTACTGTAAGTACTTGCGTTTTAAATTTCAATTCTGGTTGTTAGCCTACTAGTTGATATCGTTTGCGGCGCTGGCCAGTGAAATTGAAAGAGTAAAAATAGAATATTGAAATTGACGATTNCTGTGAAATGCACTGAATACAATTTATTCTTTTTATATAAAATTAATAGATGTATGCACATAGATACATACATACATAAAATGTGAAGTTACATAAAAAAGATGCTTTTATTATTGCACACGCTTTTACTAACTTTTTAAAAAGAGGTGCGTATGTTGTCTCGAATTCGATTTGCTATGGAAAGATAAGCTTTGTTCTTCCCCTCCTCCTGACGGCTTTCAAAATGGGATTCATTTGCGTTCAAATCTTCCACTCTGTAGTGAAAGCAAATNCGAGATGTACGAGCATTTTTTTCTTAAGAGCTGCATACTGAATTAAGAAACTTTTTATAGTNGCTATGGAAAGATAAGCTTTGTTCTTCCCCTCCTCCTGACGGCTTTCAAAATGGGATTCATTTGCGTTCAAATCTTCCACTCTGTAGTGAAAGCAAATATTGTGGAGTGCTCAAACAACGTTTATAATTTCACTGACTTTAAGCGATGAGTAATACAGTTCAAGATGAATTCCCTATGACTCTTCACTCATCTGAAAAAGATAAAACATGTCCCTAAATCTCCGCCTTTCAACTTCCGCATCGCAATCTGGGACTCGTTCTCCTANCACATAACTTGATTTCAAGAGAAACGAATTTTCATTGGGCACGTTCAGAAGGCGCAACAGCTCAGTAAATGGTGCGATTGTNATGAATTCCCTATGACTCTTCACTCATCTGAAAAAGATAAAACATGTCCCTAAATCTCCGCCTTTCAACTTCCGCATCGCAATCTGGGACTCGTTCTCCTATTCAAGCAATAACGCCGCGGCTATGGATTTCATTCTTATAATTATGTATCCACTTAAATTTTATTTTTAAATTGCAGTGATGCCAGTTAAATTACAGTGATANTACCTTTGAGAGTTAAATTTGACAGCTAATGTATGAAGTCGTTCAGAAGACGCATAACGATCACTGATTTGTTTTTTTAGCAACGGTTGCGCTCAACTGTTGCGTCTTCTGAACCTACCCATTGATAGCTTTTTTTTGATAACACTGTGCGACAGCTNTATAGTTTGGTGGCAAATATTTCTTTGTTTTGTTTCGATTTCACACATTCCTAGGCAAACAGCTGATTTCGAAAGATGTTTTCTCTCTTCCTCTTCTCCTTTCGTTTCGATCGTAATNCCCATTGATAGCTTTTTTTTGATAACACTGTGCGACAGCTCAAATCGGTATTGAGTAAAACCAAATGCAAGAGATAGTTTTTGAATTTCATTGAGTTTTTTTTAATAAATACTAAAATTGGGGGTGTATGAATGGCGAAAGAAAAACTTTATCCGATTTTTTTAAATCGAAACTACATTTTTACATATGTAAATGCATACATAAATATATTTAATATGAAATTGAAATTTTCACATCAATTTGCGCTATCTTCAAACCCATGGTTTCAATTGTACGCATACCGTCAGGGTTTTCCCCACAACTTTGTTTTGCTGCAGTGAAGCGACAGAGCAAGTGACGAGAAAAAATATATGCGGACACTTATATATGAATCTATGCACATACGTATCTATGCACATACATACATATGTACTTAGGTAAGTATATCAGCATTTTAGTTGAAAGTACGTTTTGCTCGTCGCTCTCTTCATCGCTCTACTACATTCCTGTCCTTAGTTTTATTCAGATACCACAAATGTATGTTTTCTTCGAAAATACTGAAGTACTACCAGTAGAGTACTCTACTGTCAAATACCTTTTACTCGCAGTAGTTGCGGAAGGCAAAGTAAATACTCTGCGCGTCTTGCTGTTGATCGGTAGTTTACGTACGCTTGCAGAAACTGATTTATGCTTACTCATACTTGACCCGAACGCTGAGAGTAAAGGAGGGAAAGTATTTGCGGCGATCGGATGTCTTGTTAGGCCGTTTAAATGGAATTGCGCAGGAGTTTAATATGTACATATATGTATATATGGAGAATATGAGCAACACCTTCAACAAAAAAATAGCCAAAAATCAACGATAAGCCCTAGGTACTTCAAACTTGCACTTTATAAACTAAAAAAAAAATTGAACGGAAACAACAAAACTGCGTACTCAATACCTTTCTAAGGAACCTAATTAAAACAATCGGAATTTTTACGAAAAGTTGTTGGTTTTTTTCAAATATTGCACAAAGTTTGAAAGTTTGAAACTTGGATGAACACGGTTTTTGTTAAAGAACAAACTACATTTTTATGAAAAAATAATTAAGATTAAATAATAATCAAATAAATATTAAAAACTTTTTAGAAGAGAACTGGCTGTTCTATTAAATAATTTTAAAAAGTACTAAGTCATTGTTATTGTGAACTGAAAATAAAAATCAAACTAAAAAGCGAAGTATACAATCATAAACAATATTTAGAAAACTAGTTTTCTATTAAACTTTTAACAAATTTGTAATCGTTATAAGTATAATCTCTGACCAAAAAATTTTCATATATGAAGGCTTAAGATTTTTTTAATGTTTCGTTTGCCATCTTGGATCTGTAATTTTGAATTCTAAGTAAATGACTTTAGCTTCGTATTTAACGAACCAGAAAACCCCCAGATACCCAGTTTCATAGAAATCTTACCAATTTTTTTTTTTTTAATTTCGTTTGCCACGTTGGATATGCCATTTTGAATTTTAAGTAGATGTCTTTATACTCGGTAATCAGCGACCCAGAAAACCCACAGATACCCAGTTTCAAAGAAATTACCGATTCTATAAATTTTTCGTCCGCGATATTCTTTCATTTTGAATTTTTGGTAAATGACTTCAGATTCATAATCAGCGACCCAGAAAATCTCCAGGCACCCAGTTTCATAGAACTCTACCGATTTTTTTAAATTTTTCGTCCGCCATATTGGATCCGCCATTTCGAATTTTTGATAAGTGACTTCAGATTCGTATTTAGCGACCCAAAGGTCCCCTAGATAAGAAGTGGTGTAAAAATCCATCAAAGAGTATTTGTTTAAACAGTTTCGTCCAGCTAGATTTGCTATCCGAACCACTGTGGTACGTCCCCAACAGTTATAATCCGAATATCAATTTTAACGTGACGACTTGCTCCTTCACGACTGTTACGATTCCAGCCATGATCTGGTTTTGCAGGCAGTAAGTATAGCTCTGTATGGGTATGCGAGCTTATAATAGTTCGTAACGATTGTAGTAAAAAGAAACTTGCAAAATAGAGAAAATATTGAGAGAAAGCTGAAAGTTTTTACTCTGTAAATTTTTACTCT